GTATACCGGTTATTTCGTTTCGAATAATAACTTCATGCGCCTTAAACGTAGATCAGGATTTAGAAAGTAGGGGTTGGGAGTAACTACTTCAACTATACTTTAGACGAAGAATTCCTGGAGTCGGGGGGAGGAGCTGTCGGTGGAGGCAAACTCGTAGGCTTCTGATGAAGGAGGCCTACGCCCCCCAGTTTAACCACCCGTCCTATTTGCCTTTCAGGAAAATCAAAGTGTGGAACCTCAAAGCTGCGCTGAATTCCCGATCCCGCACTAACCAGTTGTGCATGCTGACCCTCCATCGACACACGGGCCGCGTTTTCCGTCTGCAGTTCGACGACTTTCAGATTGTCTCCTCCTCCCACGACGACTCCATCATCATCTGGGACTTTGTCAGCCCGACCGTCGGTCAGGAGGAGTGCGACGATGGCTTTGCAGACGCGCCCTGGTGTGGCCAGGCGATGCACGGTGGTGCCCACCAAAGTACAAACCCGGTGAACTTATCCACTACCATGACGAGTGAGCCACATGATAACACAATGGGTACTGGGGACAATGAACACGACTCTGCCTCTCAGGATAACGGAAGCATGCCACGGGGTTTTTCGCAGCAACATGAGCAATTAGAGCGACGACAACCGCACCTCGAGTTCATTGGCACCAATGGTGACCGCACGAATGACCTTTCATCCTCTTCACCCTCGCCAAACCATGCGCACTGAAGCATCTCCCTACCCCATCCCGTTCTTTACTACTACTACTATTATTATTACTGCAAATAAAACGCAGCAACACAGCAATAAAATCCGCTGAACTGTTGTTGATTTGGCAGGCGTGCGCTTGTTTTGGTGGCAGAACTCTGTTTCACATTACACATGAATTAATTGAAGACTTGGGTGTGTCGTATCCCATCGACATCATTGTCCTTCGTACTGCGGTGTCCAAAGCAGACACGAACACGAGCAGTGGGAGGGCGAAGAGATGCAGGGAGCGAGGTTGAGAGAAGAAACAAGAATCAGGTCCTGAGGAACCCTTTTCGCGCAAAGTTTGCCTGTTGTCATCTTGGCAGCCCTACTGCCTATTGTGCGCAGTGCTCCATTCGTACTTCACTTCCGTTCACCCTGTAAAAGTGTCCTAACACCACCCGTCATAGATTTGGCCTGCAATCGTTTTTTTCGAATATTTCGATCACCAACCGCCCACACATAATAGATAGTAAAAAACCCAACCCCAGAGGAAAGTGTGGGCGGATAGTGTGCACCTTTGTACTAGACGTGGTTCATGCCCTTCTTCTCAACTCCCTGCAGCTCACATTGTCATTTACTATTGGTTGCGTTGTACATCCGAGGCTAGTATTCCCCACACACACTCGCGTTTTCCTGCCATTGAGGGGAATTCGAACATGGATTTATTCTGCCAACGCAAGCGTACGTCTACAAACATCAAGAACAGTTTGGCAGATTTTATCTCCCCAGTTGTCTTGATGTCCTGTTCCCCCTCTTCCCCTCTCTTTCCCCGTCGTATGCGTTGCCTACCAACGGTGGATAACAATCGTGTTTTCCGAGTAGATTGCACATCGCTGAGAGAAGA